TATTTCCTGGTCATCATTCTACGCAACTTGTGATTTGGGTTTTAGGATTTGCATAGCACAGATGTATTACTGAAGTAAATAAATGTTTTAAATAACAATAAGGGAAAACAGGGAACATAAATCATTCAATTTTCACCCTAAAAAGTGCACTCTCTATAAGTCAGTGGAAAGTAAATTTGAAGATACTTGGAATTACTTCGTGGCCGATTGCGTGTCACTCCTGAGGAAGTGTCAGTGTTTTGCACGTTCTGAAGTCTGATTTTGATTCTTCCAACAGTTGAACTCCATTCTTGTATTGTTTCACCTATCCTTTTGCAATCAAATATCTTATCCCTTTTTCTGCTCTTCTTTCCGGTCTCGCCACTGAGCACCCCATATTAGCATAAACTAGTCTTAAACATTACAAAGATATTTGTTTTAAGACAAATGAATGATGTCATCAAAACTGTATCTGAGGAAATTTCGAACCGATTAGTCAGACATGTATCTGTTTGTTTATAAGCGCAGAAATTCTCTCGGTTCTGCGCACTTTGTCTGCATACGTCTTCGGTTTTGGTGCGTCCTTGGCGGTGGGGGATTTGCCGGTTCCCTATCAGCTTTTGCAGGAAACATCATGTTAATTTTGTTTGCGATCTGAACTAGTAGCTATCTGTAATTTGACTTGTCGTATTTGAATTGGGTTTCTGCCTTACATCAGTCTGCGGCATACTATTCGTACTTGTATGTGGGCCATGATTTTCAGGCTTAAGTATGGTGATTGTACCATCCTAGAGTGTTAGGAATAGTTGTTTTATCATTAAAACTCGAATTGCTTCTCCATTTCTTGATGACTTGTAGGTTTTCCGCATTCGCACAGATGAAGCCATACTGTTTCATTTCCCTGTTTATACTTGTAAAGCACTACAATTCCACTACTTATTAATGTCTCCAACACCATTCAATTGGTATAAAATGTATTTCATGAATTTATCTGGTCATTGCTGAAATATATCGTGGTGGTGAATTTGTAGCTCAAAGTCAGCTTGTTATGTGGTTCAATTTTCCTAATTTAGTAGATAAAACTAGTTTGTTGTCAAGTATTTGGAACTGTGATCTGTTCGTTCGAGAAAACCTAGGGCTTTTCACAACATTCCTACTTTTGACACAATGTCTTGCCTAGCAATGCATGACCACAAAGTTCATTTCACTTTTCATAATTTACCTTGTTTAATTTCAGGAAGGACGAAGATTCAGCAGTTTGTGATGGAAGCTTAGTCGGTATTCAATGTGTCCGAAGATAGCATTCAGATGTGGAAGTAAGTTTCCGATCCCTTATCTATGCCCGGCCTCTTTTGGTTAAAACCTCGACTTGTTCTCTTAGGCGAGGATATTTAGCTGTGGAATAAGTGCAAACTTGGTCCTTTACATTTTAGGTGTACATTAGGATGGGGTCATTGGGGTTGTTCCATTTGGCACGTACTGGAGTATGAATGCGGTGAAGAAGGATTGCATGCTCTTCGATACGAATGTTGAGCGCATATTCAATTACCGTGAGGCCCAAAAACTAGCAATCCCCAATCTCGCAAATATCGAGATGTTCATTGGTACCGGTTCGAATACGCGAATGGTCGATGTGGTTATGTTGTAAGTGAGCGAGCGGCAGACGCCTTTCTGAGGGAATGTGAGTATCCTCGTCCGCTCAAGGCTAGATCAATGTTTTCTGCCTTTAGTCACTTGTTCGGAAGTTGGGCCTAACATTTGGCTTGTGATGCTCTGGACTGTGCTTCTCGTGAATGGGTAGCACTGCCCTTACCATCGAGATATAGAACCCGTGAAGATGCTGTTCTTTGACGGAGGCACCATCCTCCAGATAAGCGACTTTGTCAGTTCGAAGAATTTCGTGGCGAGCAAGGGCTGTCTTTGGTATACAGCACTGGAGGTACAACAGCGTAAGTCTTGATGTGTTTGTCACCCTTCTGTGCACAGGCAATCAAACTGATGTAAATAACTAGAGGCCTCGGTTCTGTCTTAGCGTTTTTGCTGCCAACAACATTTGTGTGAAGTTTTGGTTTGCTTGTTTGACCTAGGCGTCAGAAATAGGAGATGTGTTTTTCCTTCCAGTGTGAGAAACTTGCATTTTCCAAGTCATGTTGTAAGCTGAATAGCCGCGAAAATGGTTGGCCCTTGGTGTCCTTGTTAAAAGCATTGCAGCATGTGAACCACGGAGGGTAGCGAACGTGTTAAGATGTTGTGTGAGCTAAGTGGCCTAACTGGCTAGTATGAGGGGTGATGGAATCAAATTTAGGCCTTTGACTGTATGAGTGGAAAGACAGAATGCCATGATTTAGAAACTGCATTTATTATTCTTCATAATCCTCCTCTCTACATTTGTGCACTTATCTCCACGTTTAAGTGATCCACTTGTCAGGTAGCTTCAGTGGGGAATGATGTGAGCAGGCTTAAATCTTTAGGGAGAGTCTGCTCTACTTCGTCGCTGGTGCAGAAATTGCTTGGTGCAAAGCTTGGGTTAGGGTTACGCAGTATGCAGCATCATTTGTATACAGCGTTACTGCAATGTAGATGTGTTTGGTGGGCAATGTGACCTCGTGGGTTATAGCGGCCAAATGAAATAGCTTTGGTGGCCACCACCTGTCCACTGCTTCCGCCCACACACTCCCACATCACACAAAACGCAACAGCAATAATCACTGCTGAAAATGGCCTCTTAAGGTGGGAAATGAACTGGAATGACTCTACATTTGTGTTGTGTAAAACACAGTCGCTTAGTACGCAGGCGCAATTGGTCAGATGTTTTTGGTGACGATGAGCTGGCCTACATGCATTACTTGGATGCCTGTCTTGATTCGGGGCGTAAAGTCGTGTTCTTCGAGTTCGGTGCATGTGGTGCCCTTGTCTAAATACGCCTTCATTTTGACGCTGATTTGTCCATTCTGTCATCGTGAAAGCGAGAAGTTGTCATGGTGCCTACCATGGGTGCGCTGCTTGAGCCTACAATTGCTTGTGAAAAGTAGTGTTGTTCCACCGTTCTGGCAGAAAGGTTTGAGTGCACATTGTTTTCTTTCTTTTCCCCAAACCCAGGTCGCAATGATGATTTCTACGCCTTTTAACCACATTCTTACGACGGTATGTGCCAAGTGAAACAACCCTGTAACACCCTCCCGATATACTCTTGAAATGTGAAGAGTCAATTTTGTGCTTGTTCAATGCTTGAATGTCTTCGTGGAGGATGGCTGATCGGCGGTTTTACCAGGAGAGGCTATGCATAAACAGATGAATGCGAACGTGCCCACTCCTTCATGTGAATGTCATCCTCGGGGACATTGAATACCGATTCAACACTTTCTTCACAAACTGCTAACTCTTCGTCCCTGCTGAAGTGGAAGCGAAGTGCAGGACGTCTCCCTGTTTGTGCACTTCTGGGTGAAAGAGGAAAGGAAGTGGAGGAAGGAGGAGGAGGGCAGGACGTGGGAGATATTGGATGTGTGGAGGAGGAAGGCTGTGTGGCCTGAGGCCGTGGATGTAACGTGAAAATTAGTGGATCTGGCAATCGGTTGCTTCGAG